GGAGGAGGAGGAGGAGGAGGAGGAGGAGGGGGAAGGAATAGGGAAGAGATGGAAGAGCAGGAGGATGGAGGAGGAGGAGGAGGAGGAGGGAGGAGGAGGAGGAGGAGTGAGATGGAGGGGAGCGGAGGCGAGGAAGGAGGAGGACGACGAGAGGGGGGTAGTAGGAGAAGGAAGAGGAGGAGGAGGAGGAGGAGAAGAAGGAGCAGGAGGAGGAGGAGAAGAGGAGGAGGACGAGCAGGAGGAGGAGGAAAAGGAGGAGGAGGGGAGAGGCGGAGGAGGAGAGAGACGAGGCGGAGGAGAGAGGAGGAGGAGAGGAGGAGGAGGAGGAGGAGGAAGGAGGAGGAGGAGGAGGAGGAGGAGGAGGAGGAGGTGGTGGAGGAGGATGAGAGCAGGTGAGACGAAGAGTGGAGGATGAGGAGGAGGAGGAGGAGGAGGAGGAGGAGGAGGAGGAGGAGGATCGAGGATGGAAGGACCAGCTTTTTTTGGGCGACCCTCCTCCGAGGCCAGTCGATCGGGCAGGCCGAGACCCAGTTGCACGGCAGTGCGCTCCGCCTCATCGGTGGCCGCCTCGCGTCCGCGGAGTCGCGGTGCAAGGATGGCGTTTTGTTCTTGGTCTGTCTGTCTGTTTGTTTGTTTGTCTCTTAGTATGGTGGCCTGCGTAGGCGCTCGGGTCTCGCCAAGCATCCTGACACATGCACCGATGTATATTCAAGCAGTATGGTGGTCTGCGACATGCACCGATCCTGACCAGGCCAGTCCTGGGTTCCAGGCTATAGGACCTCGGTCAGTTTGTCTGCTTGTTTATCCTCTCCGCCCCCCCTCTCCCCGCACCTCGAGGCAGGACCGAGGATCCCGGATCCAGGGTCGAGGATCCGGGATCGGTGCCAGGACGGCGCGCATTCTGCGCATGTGGATCGACAGTGTACTGTTGTTCGGATCTGGGCGGCGGGAAACGAGTCGTGGCGGCTGGTTTCTTGACGTTGTCGGCCTTACTCCCCCCCTGGTAGGTGTGTAGATGAGGCAAGATGTCGGTGCGAAGCACGGTCTTACACCCCAAACAACAAAAAACAAAAAGGGCAGACGAGCTCGATGGAACTCCGCCCTGTCCGATTCTACCGGCACAGGTGGCCGGAGGCTGAGCGTGCAAGTGCGAGCGACTGGAAGGTCGCCGAAATTTCTTTAAGCAACGCCGACTGCACGCAGAAGGTGACGAGGATCGCGGAGACAAGGGCGCAGTGTAGAACACCACGCCACGAAGTCCTGTCCCGTTCGACCGGCGCCGAACGGCCACTGTCCGAGAGCAACGCCGACTGCACGCAGACGATGTCGAGGAGCGAGGAGAAGAGGACGTAGTGGAAGAACACGCTTCGCCGGAAGCCATGCCCCGTTCAGCCGGGCAGAATATTCCAACCAACGGACGCCGAACGGTCAATGTCCGAGAGGAGCGCCGGATGGCGCCCTCCTCCTCGATATTATACTATTATTTCTCTCCCCCTCTCAATTTCTATATAGTGTGTATATATATATATATACACTATATATATATCGCGCCGCCCGGCGAGCCACTGTGCCGTTATGTCAACCCTTCTCACCCCTCACCCATCTTGTCCTCTCTTCATCGCCCAACTCTTCCTACCCAGATCGCCGGGGGCCGTGTCCCAGCCCCGGGACCACCAACAACAAGATTCGGGATGAGCCGCGGGTCGTCGGGGGCCCGCGCCACGAACAAATTGCGACGTCGGATGTGGGTGACCAATGATCGGGGATCCAGGATGAGTTTGTTTGTGATTGCTGTTGTTGTTGCTGTTGTTGTTCTTGTTGATGTTGATATTGATGTTTGTTCTTGCTGCTGCTGTTGTTGTGGTTGTTGTGGTTGTTGTTGTTGTTGTTGTTGTTGTTGTTGTTGTTGTTGTTGTTGTTGTCGTTGTTGTTGTTGAGTTCTCATTTCTAAAGAATATTCATCATACCAACCCGTGTGATCTCGCACTGCATTATTTCGACCGACCGTGCCTGGGTGTGATGGGATGTGTCGGTGCACCCCACAACATATGGGAAACTATGGTGAATCTTGTTATTTGTCTCTATTGATTTGTGTGTCCCAGGGCCCCTTCGAAGGTTCTGGTATAGATTTTGCTGGGAAGTGAGCGGCTTGATCCTGACCTCCAGGCGTCGCCAAAAAATCGCGCCGGCCGCTTCTCATTTCCAGCCTCGGTGCTCCCTTGAGATCGAGGCGGCGGAGCCAAACGCGATGGCCGTTTTGTGGTCCTTTTCGGCCCCTGGAAGCCGTCTCCTGGCCCAGGGACTGTCAAAACACCGCTCAGGATGAAATGCCAGTTCCCAGGAAGAGGTCGAGATCCCCAGGGTCCACGTCGCGAACAAAAATGCGACGTCGGAGCAGGGTCCGGGATGCCGTTTTCGACCCCTCGGGCCGTCACCAACAAAGCGACCCGAGACGGAAGCTGGTCTGTTGACGATGTTAGTCGTGGTGCGCTAGTCCGCTTCTGTTCTCTCAGAGAATAGAAATCATAGCGGCTTCAAGCTCGCCATAGAGTCGACCGTGGACGAGTCGCCCATCAACGTTCTTTTTCCAGCGCGATCAGACCGTGACCTGGAACTTTCAAAGCATCAGGCATGCAGTGCGCCTCCCAGAACCATCATAACACGACTTTCAGATGGAAGGACTTGCCCGAGCTCTGGACTGATCTCGGTACGACGCCAGAAAGAGGGGATACGATTGAGCGGCTTCTGGAGTAGACGAGCTCATACAGGAAGAAGGCGCACTCACCGCCCGCGTCGTCGTCCTCCTCCTGCGCCCTCCTCGCCCATTCTCAGCGGACGAGCTCCTGCGGGCCCGGTGCCGACCCAGAGCTTGGTCCAGGCCGATGCCGCCTCTCTCTTGCTCCTCCCTCCCCCCCTCCAGGGGCTGGGCGGGCAGGTGTCGTCCAGGTGGTCCGACCCCGCCGGAGGAGGAGGAGGAGGAGGAGGAGGAGGAGGAGGAGGAGGAGGAGGAGGAGGAATAGGAGGAGTAGGAGGAGAGGAGGAGGAGGA